CCCCCCCCCCCCCATACCCTAACCTGACATAACCCCCTTCTAAAACCAAGCTTGTTATTTGCTCACACGCTACAAAGAATATGCCGTCCCTGACAACGTGTCAAGTCACACCTCTCGCTGCTCCCAGGCGGGCGAGCTGTTCGTAACGTCTCCCCCATGTCTGCCGAAGATGTGCAACCGCCCGTTCCCAACGATGCCGAAGTACTGAGCTGTCGCCACCGCTAGCCGCTCGCCGTCAAACGGGCTGAACTCCACCTGGTGGTGGTGGTCGGAATCGTTCGCAAAAAAAGTAAAACTTGGTTGAAATTCGAAGGCGCACAGGTTCGTTCGAATGAATGGGACATATGTACATCATCGCTGAGTCGTGACGACGGGTTGCGCGTGATGATCTCAAAACACTATTTTTTTTTAGCTGAGAACCCCCGAATGCGCAACAGCACCCCAGAAGAAATAGAGTTCCGCGACACCGGTTATCGCCCGGCCCATGAACGATTTCAAGGCTCCTCCACCTGTACCGAGTGTGGTTTGGGCGGTGTATATCCTGCTTGTATGGATACCAGTTACGGACCAGCTTCCGTGTGAAAGGCTTCTGGTTGCTGCCAGTCGTGAACGCGAACGAGCTGGATCAGATCATGCGGAATAGGGCAGAGTTCGAGATTTGGCACCAAGGCGGACCAAGGTGCAGGTGGGACACATGCGTTCATATATATACCGAGAGAAAAGATAACCCTCTTGCAGGGAAGTGGTGCCCGCCTGTAGTGCGGCACCCTATGCGTCGAATATCTTCAGTGGAGGAGGTCAATAGCTGCTGCATGATAAAGCACACGGAGGCGCAAACTGCTGTATGGTCTTTGTAATCATGCGCGTGAATGCGAGGAGAGACGATTGTATGGAATCAATTTATGTTCAGATAACACGCAAAATGCGCGGGGCAGAACACAATCGTTCTTGCCAAGGAGCCTAAAAGATCTCACCGCATGGCAGCTAAAGGGAAGGCTAATCGATGCTTCAAGTCTCATGACGTTCGCCCACTGAGATAGAGAGAACGTTGAGAGGCGCGCGACCAGCACGGGGCAGGTCAAGCTTGGGCGGCGGGCTGAAGGGGACCAACAGCTGGCCTCAGGAAATTGTGTACAGGGTACGTAGGGTGTCTACACAGTGTGCCCCCGCTCCGCACACTTGACACCTGGTGGCCGGGGCCCCCTACTGCGCATCCTACGTACGTCCTAGGAAGCCACTGCGCATCGTTATTTGATTTTAGTGTGAATCGGGGACAAATGCCAGCAATGCAGACTTTTGGGGCACACAACTGGTTCTGCGCCCCGAAAGTTCCAGCGCAGCTTTGATTCTCGAAGATTTTTTTCATCACCACCCAGCAAGCGTCGATAGCAACACCACGCACAACGGCAGCGGACGGTGGCGCAACGGCGGGTCGCCAGCCTGGTTCATGTCTGCAGCTCCCGGGCCAGATGATGATCGCGGCGGCCATGGCAGGGCAGACAGACACAGGTCAGACAGATATGAAGCGCCAGCAAACAAGATGTTCACCTGTCACATGTGTCTCAGGCACGTGAACAGCGGCCAGAAGAGGATATCTATACGGGTTCCTCCTGATCAGAATCCACACGGGTTGCTGCACGGGTTCGATCATTTTTGTGCGGATTGCGATCGATCGGAGGACAGCCTGCAGCGACGAGTTTCGTATGATTGTCATGGCACAGTGGGCAATGTAGGCATATCTGGGCGAACGCCTAGTTCCAGTGGTGGTAGCTCAGAGAACCGGCTGCAGCAAACAACGATGTCCTCACAAGTAGCAGCGGCAGCGGCCGCTGCCGCCGCTGCCGCCGCAGCAGCAACAGCAACAACAACAACAACAACAACAACAACAACATCGGCAGCACCAGTCGCAGCCGCTCAAGGGCCACCTGCAGGAGGAGCGGAGGAACCGTTCAGAGCGGCGGCGGAGGTGGGGGGGGCTGCCCATGACACCGCGGTTTCTTCAGGGTGGTCATATACCATTGCTTGACACTGTCACCGTCTGGGATGTTTCGAGTACATTTTACCATCGGTGCGAAAGGATCTTTAGTTCTAAATTTTCTGTCTCCTTTTGGTTGGAGAAGGTGCGCGCGCTCCCTCGGTGAACCTCTTCTTGGTTCTGTGGAGGCCAGGATATTCGTATCTTCTTATACTTACACACGCACATACAAAGGGAGTGAA